TTGTTCATTTGCTCTGTCTGACCGTTAGTCTCTGGATGGCGGYCGGACGACATCAACAACTTAGATCCGTATACTCCCATGAGTTCTTGCCAGTTCTGGCTAGTAAAGCGACTATCTCTATCGCTAACTATAGACAACGGGATTCCATTCTCACTAACCCAACTGTCAAAGAACCTCTGTATGACTAAATCAGTACGCGCCTCATGAGGCAAAGGAACAAAAACTGCATACTTGCTAAAGCGGTCAACTATGACCATGACTTGGCTCTTGCCATGCCTGCTCTTGACTTGAGTGTCCATGAAATCTATTGACACTGAGTCTCCCGGCTGATCCGGAATGGCCAAGGGTCTGAGAAGACCTAATGGGGCACGCGTAGAAGACTTGTTACGCTGACAAACCTTACGACTGCGAACATACTCTACGCAGTCATTCTTCATCCCTGGCCAGGTATACGTGCGCATCAGATTGGCTAAGGTCTTTTGCCAACCAAAATGACCCTCCGTGTCATGGCATTCTCCCAGGATCAGACTGCGGATCTCTTCGCTAATGGGGATGCACAATCGGTCAAAAACATTAGTCTTCTCAAAAAGCAACCCTCCATTAGTGCGGTAGTTCGGCTCGGTCTCTGGGGCCTCCTTGACTTTCGTAAGGAGCTCACCATAGATAGTGTCCTGCGCGTAGGCTTCTCTAACCTTCTGCTGCAGATCCTTTCCTATATCGAGGTAATGTACTATTGCCCCAAAGTAATCTGCTCTCCTACTCGGAGCATCCGCGACTACATTGTACTTCCCTTTAACAGGCTTGAGCTCGTAGTCGTACTGATCTATCTCTGCGGCCCACCTAGTAAGCTTAGGTGTCATCTTGGCCTGTGTCTTTAACCATCGTAATGTTTCATGGTCAGAATAGACTTTGAAGTGCCTCCCAAGTAAGTAGTGCTTCCAGTGGTCTAATGCTTGCCTGAGAGCGTAGAGTTCCCTCTCATAGGTAGATGTCGCAACCTTCTCTGAAGGCATCCTAGCGGACATGAACTCTACGGGTCTATAGCCATTGCCATCGTCTTGTTATAACACTGCGCCTATGTCGTACTGGCTAGCATCCGTAGTAACGACAAAAGGCAAGGACAGATCGGCGACCTTAAGGACCGGGTATTCTATCAACACCTGCTTTAGCTTCTTCATGGCAAACGTGCAGTCCTTGTCCCACTTCCAGATTGTCTCTTTTCTTAGCAATTTGCGAAGGGGCGCAGCGATGGTGGAGAAGTTCCTCACGAACTTCCTGTAGTAATTTGCTAAGCCCAGGAACAATGCAACTCTGTTAGCATACGTGGCATGGGCCAATCTCTAATCGCTGCGATCTTGCTATCTTCTGGCTTAACGCCGTCTCCGTCTAAGACGTGGCCTAAATACAAAACTTGGGTCTTCGCCCAATCGCATTTCTTCGCATTGATCTTGAAGTTAGCTTCTCTCAGCTTCTCCAAAACCTGCCTGAGATGACCCTGATTCTCGTCGAGGGTCTTACTAAACACTAGAATATCATCTAGGTACACTACAACAAATCTATCTTACCATGGCCTAAACAAATCGTTCATACAACGCTGGAACGTAGCTGGCGCATTGGTTAGTCCAAAAGGCATCACTATAAACTCATAGTGCCCGTACCTAGTCCGGAAGGCTGTCTTATACTGATCATCAGGATGTACCTCTATCTGATGGTATCCGGACTTTAAGTCTATCTTAGAGAAGTACTTGGCCCGCTGCACTCGATCTAAGAGATCGTTTATCCTAGGCAGTGGCTCAACATTCTTTACTGTAATAACATTCAGACCCCTATAGTCTATACACATCCTCAGCTCTCCCTCTTTCTTAGGGACAAAGAGAACAGGGGCTCCAAAAGGAGACGAACTGGGCCTAATCCAACCCTTTTGAGGAGCTCGCCCAACTGCTTCCGTAGCTCCTCTGACTCCCGCGGGGACATTCTATATACAGCACCCTTAGGAGTTCTACTGCCAGGCTCTATCTCAATACGGTGCTGGATGGGTCGCGGCACCGTGCCTGTCGGCGGCTTAGTTAAATCCTTAAACTCTTCCAGCAATTTGGCAATAGTAGGGTCTACGGGCTTCTCTTCCTTAGGCTCAGTCACTGGCCTAATATAGGCGACAAAGACATGTTCCTCCAATTTCTCCTTCTTCACCAATCTGGCGAATGCGGGCGCGCGCAGGCAACAATGTGTCAAGGAATTCTCTACGCCTGACACATGGAACAGGCGGGCAGTCTTAGCCTCGCCTGAAGAACTAGGGAGCCTACACTCGTGCTCCTTCAAATGGAGCGTGGCCCCGGCTGCCTCTCCCCAATCCATTCCCAGGACAATGTCGAATGGGAGGCTGTCTTCTACGAGGAGAGTCAGGGAGTGGAGGACCTTCTCCACTTTCCCATCCTTCTCTAGGCGAAAATATGCCTGAACTCCCTCTACGTAATCCTCTACAACCATAGTGCGATTGTCCGTGAGGATACTAACTATGGGGTCTGTCAGTTTCTGGACTTTAAGTCCCAGCTTCAACTTCTGCAGCGCCTTCCTACTAGTATAGCTGCGGGTAGCCCCTGAATCTACTAGGGCCCCTACTCTACCTCTAAAAATCTCTACATCTACCAGAATTAGCTGTCCTTCCTGTTCTTTTTTCATCTTGGCCCAGGCGAGCATCCTCTCCTTCAATTCTTCAGCCACGCCTTTGAGGGAGGTGTCTAAAGAGACCCTGACACAAGCAGTCTCTGGACAGCTGTCTAGACACCGGCCTGCAACCTCTGCCATAGGCACATGTGGTGTGGGAGTCTCCTGCCGGCTAGCGCTATGTTCCCCACATGGCCTAATGGTAGGGGCAGTTGCTACCCCTACCGGCGGCTGCCTTTTAGCCCTTGGGCAGCCGTTCAAGTCTCTCTATACTTAGGACAATATTTGATGATATGGCCCGGGTCACCGCAGAAAATGCACTGGCCCCGGTCCAATCGTTGTTGCCATAAAGCCTGGTCCAGACCCAAAGATTCCCAAGGCCTATYCTGAGGTAGCCCTGGGTGCCATCCTCCTATTCTATAGGGAGCCCTCCTCCAAGGACGGTTTTGCGGGGGACCTTGACCCCTGCCTCCCGCTTGGTGGTTTCCTCCTCCGCTGCCAACCCCCTGATCGCCCTGAAATCGACTCCCTGAGGCCCGGCCCCCTTGGCCCTGGCCTCTTCCTCCTTGCAGCCTCCCTCCAGCCGCGACAACAGCGTAAGATCTCCCTTGGCCCACACCGCTGTCCTCCTCCTCTAACCCCCACTCAATCTGGTCGTAGGGGATCTCATCCACACTACCCTCATCTAAGGTTAGGACAAGGCTGTCCTTGGTCTTTACTTGCCTTGAGATAGTGCGGCCCTTCCATTGCTTACCCTTGTCCAAGTCCTTGTGCCAGAAAATGGACACAGACGCAGACTTGGCTTCAAAAGCCACTACTTCGCGACTAAGGGAATCGTATGTAGTGGCAGGGTCTTCGCTCTTTGCGAAGAAATGCCCCCGGAGGGCTTCGGGTATAGCGCGATAAAAGAGGCCAACCAACTGGGTGTCTGTAACTCCGTGGTCAGGGACAGCTACCAGTTCGTCCATGGTACTCTTAAGTGCCCTGGCGCTCTTCCACTTA